AAGAGAATAATATGTAAAACCTAAGAATTTGGTTTTTGGTCATCTGAACGCGGGCGGAGCCGCGGGCAATGCTAGTTTAAAATATAATCCTATACCGTAACACTAACTTTTGTCCGCGGCTTTGCTTGCATAGTTTTAATATGCAGAATCAGTAACGCTAACGCGTTATTACCTAATTTTGAGAGATTTTTTTGTTAAAACAATAGTTTTTTTTAATTAAAAAATAAATACTTCTTAGACTGCACGGATATTTAATACTAGCGACTCACCCTTTCTTCGCTCGGGTTCGTCCCTATCTACGTTTTAACGATTAATATGGAATAGATAGACTATATATACATAGATATGAGAAAGTACGTGATTTCCAGGATAAAAAGTACCTATCCTATATCCTTCTCAGAGTCTCAAACTATCTCCATACCAAATTCCATCTAAATCGGTTCAGCGGATTAAACGTGAACAGACCGACTGACAAACGAGAGCTACTTTCGCATTTATAATATTAGTATAGGTTTTGAATAAAACTATCTCTTTGTATTTTCTTGTGGACTTATTTTGGTTTTTGGTTGCCGACCTTACGAATGCTTTACATACAGTAGACGTACATCAGAAACCGAAAACCAAAATGAATTCGCATAAATATCCGTCTTTTTAACCCCCGACGCAAAAAGAGGGGTGTTGTAAGTTTGACATCGATATCTGTCTGTCTGTGTGGCATCGTAGCTCTCAAACGGATGGACCGATTTCGATACCGTTTTTTCCATTTGAAAGCCAGTTTCCTTGCGGTGGTTCTTAGCTATGTTTGGTTAATATCGGTCCAGCAATGTAAAAGTATCAACTCTTTTCCAAAATGATGCAAGGCATTTTGGCGTATGATTACTCGATTAAGTGCTTCTAAACAAATAAAAATGGATTAAAAATTTCACCAAAGATCATCGTTGCCGTAAAACTGTAATAACTTAAAAAAAAACGACTGTATTTAAAGTGAAATAAAAACATCGTAAGAATATCTCTAATATATAAAATTTCCATGTCACAATGTTAGTTACCGTACTCCTCAAAAACGGCTTTACCGATTTTTACCAAATTTTATATGCGTATTCAGTAGGTCTGAGAATCGGCTACTATCTATTTTCCTACCCCTAAGTGATAAGGATAAGGGTGGTCCTCCCAGACCCCACCCCAGGGACGAATCCGAGCGGAGCGAGGGTGAGTCGCTAGTAGGTTTATAAAATTCACCATACAAACTTTCATCCCCATTTTCGCTCCCTGAAGGGATGATTTCCGGGATAAAAAGTATCCTATGTCCTTTCCAGGGTCTCAAACTATCTTCTTACCAAATTTCATCTAAATCGGTCCAGTAGATCCAAAGATTACCCCCTACAACGTCAAAAACTTACAAACTTTACCTCTTTATAATATTAGTATAAACATGTACATATCAAGCTTGAAGTATATAACATATATGTATGTCTTTTACTATTAAAATCTATAAAACCAAATATTTGAACTTAAAATCAATTAAACAATATAAATAAAATATAAACTAATTTAAAAATTTAATTATTAAAAAAAAAACAAACAAAATGAAAAAAAAAACGATAGTCATTGAAATAAGTCAGCTTTGATGAAAACAACTAATCTCATTTGAATATAACACTTTAAAGTCTGGTGTTAAGGTGCTAAGGTCGTAGGTTCAATTCTTGGACAATGCATAAAATAATAATAATTGTCACCAATAGGCAATACGAGAATAATTCCATATACCGGAATGACGGCTGTAAATCCGGAGGTCCTGGATTCGAGTCCCGGGTCGAACCAAGTATAGTTATTTGGGTTTTCTTATCAAAAAAATCTCATTGCTGTACCGAAGCGTACGTATAACCGCCAGTTTTGGCTTCATCTCTCACAGCGAGTGTCGAAATATCGACCCATCGGACTTTGAGAGTGAAAGGATTTAGAGAGTGCATTTGTGTCTGCGCACACGCACATGACTAGACTTAGTAAGATTAACCGCCGTAACGGAAATCGGTCATAATGAAGCGTTCACCAGTCAAAAAGACTTAAAAATATTAGAAAAAATTACGTCACGTCCAAAAGTTATTCATTTAAAAAATCTATACATATAATAAAATTTTAACTCAGCCGAATCTGTACATTAAATATTTTTTGGAAAATCTTATTGAAATAAACATTATTACAGATAATATCGATACAGAGGCCAAATCTATAGTTTTTAGAATTTTTGTCTGTCTGTTACCGCATGACGTATAAACCACTGGAGGGATTTTGATCAAATTTGGTATTATGATCCGGGTCAACATAAGGGACACTTTTTACTGCGGAAAAATATCTCATCTCTGAGAAATCTGTACTAAACGTTAAAACGTAAATATGGACAAATCCGAGCGGAGCCAGGGTGAATCGCTAGTTTAACAATATATTATTAGTCATAAACAATTGTTACATTCTTCTAGAATCTATTGTAAATTATAAAAAATAAAAATTAAAAAAAACATTACTATCAGATTAGTTATCTGTGGACTAATACAGATTGCAACATAACCATGCATTCGACTGATATAGTTTTTATTACATCTGGACACTTTTCATTGATTTTAAGTCGGAAAAATATAGTATATATTTTTTCAAGAAAAGAGAATTCACAGGCTTAAACACGAAGCGAGGGTGAGTCTATACTAATATTATAAAGAGGTAAAGTTTGTTTGTGAGTTTGTGACGTTGTAGGTGGTAATCTCTGGATCTACTGAACCGATTTGGATGACATTTGGTAAGTAGATAGTTTGAGAACCTGGGAAGAACATAGGATACTTTTTTATCCCGGAAATTATTCCTTAACACCTCCAGGGAAAATTCTAAAACATTAATTAAATTTCTAAGAAATCTATTGTATCAAGCCAGGGACGAACATAATATATATTAGCGTGAATCTTAATGAGAAAAGAACAATTTTGTAAAATATACATATTTTTTGTTCTTCTCTAAAACTCAATTTATCAAAAGATACATTATGCTAATAACAAAAAGTAGGTATAAAGATATGTATCTAAATCTTAATGCAAGATTTTATAATCTTCATTATAATTCTGACGACACCATTGGCTCAGTTTGTAGTGATGCTACTTGCTGTGCCAGCGGTTGCAGGTTTGAGTCCCGCTGGGGATATTCATCTGTGTGATGAGCACGGATGTTCGTACTCCAGTCATGGGTGTTTGTATTTATAATATGCATGTATTAAAAGTTATATACGTGTAGTGTATCAACTATCTGGTATCCATAACACAAGCCTCATAGCTTACCATGGAACTAGATGGTGCTGTGTGTTAGTATACTAACATATTTTATTTATTTATAAATATATGACAGGATATTATATAGTCGTTTTTGTATCATAGATATTTGTTTAAGTAACAAAACCATCTTTGTATACTTTATGTACTTTCTCAGGAAACACCTGTACCTATTGATTATTATTTATTGTGCAACTAACGACTTACCCTCGGTTCATTCGGGTTCTCCCCTAAATACATTTTAAAAGTTAGTATGAAATAGGTACATTATATACTATATGATATAGCCTATAGCCTTCCTCAATAAACGGGTTATATACTGCAAAAAGAATTTTTCAAATCGGATTAATAGTTCCTGAGATTAATGCGTTCAAACAAACAAACAAACTCTGCCTCTTTATTACATAAATATAGATAATAAAAATAAATAATAACAAATGTCTATTATGTATATATATATATATATATATATATATATATATATTTACTTAATATAACTGATTGTTATTACATTGTTGGAGTAGAATTTTGACTATACATTATATTTCTAAGCAGTTTTTAATCAATAAAGTGGGTAAAGTTTAATGGATTATAAATATTTAGTACACTAATTTACTTAAATTAGTAATTTTACTTTCAGATATAGTACTACTTACATATGTAATGCAAGCATTAAAAAATATAAGCACTATCTACAGTGTAGCTCATTTGCATATATAACTAACCCAATTAAAACACAATAATATTATAAAGAGGCAGAGTTTGTTCGTTTGAAGGCGCTAATCTCAGAAACTAATAATCAGATTTGAAAAATTATTTTTGCATTAGATAGCCCGTTTATTAAGGAAGGTTAAGGCTATATATCATCATGGTACTACACACAGAGCGGAGCAATAATCATAAATGTCAACAAATCAGACAGACTTTCATACATTATTGTGAAACTGATGTTTATAATAGGTATATTTAAATGTTTTAAGCTCAGAAACTATGCTCATATCAAAAATGTCTAGCATAAAGCCAAAGAGTCCTATTTTTGTAGTTTTAGCGCGAGTGAAGCTACAGGTTCTGCTAGTTAAAACATAATATAATTATTTTCTAAGAAAATATTCAGTACATACATATATTAAATATATATTATAAGTCTATTTTCTTATTTATACCTTATATTATTAAATACATGTTTAAGGTAGCTAATCAATAGCCAAGGCCCTGCTATCTGACTGATAGCTGTTACCAAGACAATAGTGGAATTAAAATTAAAAACGGCTTTTATCATACTTCTTTAAAATACTATAAGTAAAGTATTAATTAATATGTAATCGAATGCATTTGGCAACTTGAGTCATAATATATTGCAACAACTGTTGATAAAACTTCCATTAAATATATATAAAAGTTAAAGATAAATATTGATTGTTCCTAGCTTATTTATTTACAATTAGGAATTCTGAAGGCTAAAAGCATGGAAATCCTTGGATATAACCAAGAAAATGTAACGTCGTATGGTTAGAATTAAGTAAACATTGATATTCCGCTAAAAACCGGCGAAAAGATAAGCGTAGCCAAAATTTGTAAACTGAATACTTAAAGTATGATATCATGTATTTTTTCTTAGAGAATTATAACTATTTTAGACACAAATGCAGTCATTTAGCATGTACTAATTATGTTATAAATTACACTCACCTCGAAAAGTTTGAGCAAAATATCCACATAAAGACGTCGAACACCCAACGATTTTCCAATAGATGCTAAGAAGATAACACACAAAATAAGAAGTAAGAACGGCGTGTATAAAATAGATATCGCAACGGACACGAACGACATCATAAGCGCCATATTACCAACTGATTGATTGGAATTTGGAAATATCAATCGCATGATGAATGATTGAATGAGTTTGTGACGTCACATTCATTATTACGTCTTCATTCAACTGCCAATGTCAATTACATCGAATGTTGCTATATAACTTAAAATATAAATAATCAAAATGCGTAATTATATACGTAAAAACTGCTGTAAGCAGATTTAATTGCGTGTTGAGAAAATATAAGATAAAATCTTTAATAAATAAGTCATTCTGTAAATGATATGAATTTTTACACAAACATGTACACTATTAATAATAAAATACTTTAATTATTTTCATTTTATTATTTACTCGAATAAAAATCACTAAATAATGAAAATTAAAAAAAAAGTATTTTATTTTTCATCTGGTTGTCATTATATGTTTTTTACACCTGGAAACATTGTTACATTATAACCTCAGCAGTGTCGGAAAAATTATTTTAGTTTTTACTAAAAAATCCTATTCGGATTTAATTCCTTCAAAAACTATTACAATGGCTGATCTTCCGTTTGGTCCCCCAGTAAAAGTATCCCCATTGATAAGGGTAAGTTAAATATTATTTTTTAATACTTTGAATTATGTAATAGTATTCTAACCATTTTATAAAAATAAAAGAATTTTGTATCCGCGGGTATCATTTCTTTTAATTTTTGTATAAATTATTAATTTACTCAACTTCGAGCTTATTTTAGCAGTAGCTACAACTATTATCCTCTAAAGTCTGATCCTGCCCATTAAAATCTCACCAAGATTTGCTTTATTGGTTTTATTTCATTTATTACCATATATATTACAGAGCATTTAAACTTTAATAGGATATTATTATTATTTTTGTTCGTTTGGATATAGTAAATCATCTAACACATTTTTTTTTAACTATTCAATATCTGACCTTCAATAAAGTATATTAATATTTAAGTACCATTTCTATGAATATGAGAAAAATATATTGACTTAGAATGTCAAGAATTTTTGTTACCCATATTTTCTATGTATAATATTCTGTTTCAGTTTGGCCGTTGGTCATTCCTTAGCGCTGGTATCCTATATGGTGTCTTCCACCAAAACAGATTATCCAAGAAGGAGGCCAAGATTCGTGAAATCGAAGCTAAGGAAAAGGTGATCAGGGATGCGAAGCTTAAAGAAGAGAAGGCAATTGCTGCTGCTGGTTAGTTAAATTTAACATATTTCTATAAAGTTGGGTTATACTTAATCATGCATTTTACAGTTTTTCATTAAATATCACTACTACATATTATAAAATAAAGTATCCCCACCACGTCTGTCTGTCTGTCTGTCTGAATGCGATAAACTCAAAAACTACCAAAAAGATTTTCATGTGGTTTTCACCAATGAACATAGTGAGTGATGAAGAGGGTTTATGCGTTCAATAATTCATTCAGGTTTTGAGTAAATTAGCAGAAATATGACAAAGACTGTTGAAGATGTGCGCAAAAATCATGCCGACTGGGAGCTTTATAAAACCGACTTCCAGGCACTAAAATGTAAAAAATAACTAAAGGTGAATATCTAATAGGTAAATATGGATTTTACGAAATATATTAGATTTATATTAGAATTAGAATATCGAAATATATTAGATTTGTTTTGCATCACCTGGCACCGACTTCAAAAGTATTTGATTAGGTATCTATTCTAAATGAAAACCCCCATTTAGTAACTTTTACATTTTAGTGCCTGGAAGTTGGTTTTTAAAGTTTTCATTTTTCCATTTTTAATTTAGCCTAAACATAATAATAAGTACAAATTTATTATTTATCTTATTACAAAAAACTGTAATAAGCAGGTAATTTGTAAGAAGAAAGTTTTTTAATAACATATTCGATTAAGCAATTTATTTAAAAAAAAAATATTTGTAGATTTTTTTAAAAACCGCTCGACCAATTTTGAAACAAAAAAAATCCAAATCGGTTCAGACGTCTTCGCGTAATCGGTGACCATACAAAAAAAAACAAAGATTCCGATGAATTGAGAACCTCCTCCTTTTTGGAAGTCTGTTAAAAAAATGAATTACAGAATTATTTCTCTTAAAAAATCTATTAAATTGTAGCAACATTATAACTAGGGCCGAACCCGCGTGAAGCGAGGGTTAATCACTAGTTACATAATATTATAAGTATAATCTTTGTTATGTAGAAATTAAAAAAGTAAAATTCTGGCAATGTAGATAAAAAATATACAATATTTGATTTTGCAGAAACAGATAACATCAGCGGAACATGTGATATTGATTAACACTATTTGCAATATTGATCACTAAGTTATTATTATTTGTTAAACTGGTTATATGATATTAGCGACTCACCCTGGCTTTGCTCGGGCTTGTCCCTAGGTTGATTCCCCATACAAACTTTCATCCCCATTTTCACCCCCTTAAGGGATAATTTCCGGGATAAAAAGTATGCTATGTCCTTCCCAAGGTGTCAAACTATATTCTTTCCAAATTTCAGTCGGTTCAGTAGATCCAGAGATTACCCCCTACAACGTCACAAACTCACAATTCACAATCTTTACCTCTTTATAATATTAGTATAGATTGGTGATAGAAAACAAAAAATATCTGGAAATGTAATGTATTTAGTGCTTTTTAATGTCCCACTGCTGGGGGGGGGCTCCCTTTAATATAAGGGGGGTCAGGCCATAGTCCACCACACTGGCCTGAGTTTAGGTTGACAGAAATGATACGTTTTGACATAATTATGCATACATATAGTATTATTCAATATCTAGGAAAGCATATAGTAGCAGCATAGTTTATAAAGTGAGATGAAGTAGGATAGACCGACAGGAGGATTTAATGCTACCAAAATCTTTTATTAGGACTTTTCTATAGTTTTGGATTTGATAAATGAATATGGTTTGTAATATATGTATGTATATTATATACCATTCACTTTTTATATGTCAACCTATCAATCAAATATTCTCTAGTGATCTAAACAAACGGACAAAATTAAATTTTTTTAAGCTTCAATTATTATTATCTGGTGCAGTCTAATTGTCCATCTCTTAGTAAGACATTGTGGGTTCGTTTCCACTTGACAATTGTTTATTTACATTGGCTTTTCATCACACTAATGTATGCATTCCACCTATACTTACTCATAAATATTTTTTTATCACAAATCAAATTAGTTTTATGTCAAACTATAGACTTTTTCTCACTTACCTCGGGTGCGTTCCTAGGTACGCGGTTTACAGTCACAATTTCATCAGCTATTTCCCATTGAAAGTCCCGTCAAAATCGGTCCAGCCTTTCCGGATATTAGTCGGAACAAACAGACAGACAGACAATTTTTTTTTAATTATTGTGATATAAGTTGCATATAAACTTTCATATGCATTTAGTAAAAAGCTGTTATTTTGATATCACACACAGACACTTGAATTTTATTTATCTGTATAGATGAAACATAATTAATTCTATTTTATTAGTCTATAGTAAGTCTTCAAATTTCACAGATTATCTAAATAGCATATTGTAGCTTTAAAAAAAGATAATATTGATTTAATAAATCTTATTTATATTTTATATATTCAAGAATATTTTTTTTTCAAGTTTACTCAATTATTTAATGTCATTTATTTCTTTTCAGCCGAGCTCAAAGCCTTGGAAGAAATGGTCGCAACCAAGAAGTAAACAAAAAATCAAGTTTTAATTCTAAGGCAATAGTGAATAACATCTCTAAATAATTAATGTTTCCATTGATTAGTGTTGCCTGTTAATAAAATGTGAATTAAAATTTTATTCATATGGCAACACTTTTAAAAGTGGCAAAAATTCCATCAACTTTATAATATAATTGTATTTATGAAATATAGTTGAGAAAAATCTGTGTTTTTTTTTAATTTTACCAAAAAACAAATATTTTAATTCATCGGGAAGAAAAACAGTTCAAATAAATGTCAATAGATGGCATTAAATTTATAGGTTTTTTATTTACGTTGTCGTGATATCTATACATACAAAAAAATATAGGTTCAACTATTATATAAATATTATAAAAATGATTATTGTCAACTAATTATCTATACATATAATAAAATTATAACTAAGCCGAATTTGTACATTAAATATTTTTTAGAAAATTATTACTTATTGAAATAAACATTATTATCGATATATAGGCCGAATCTATAGTTTTTAAAATTTTGTCTTTGTCTGACTCTGAGAACGCATCACGAGACAACTACTGGACAGATTCTAATGAAATTTCGTATGACGATAGCTGGTTATCCGGGTCAACATATAGGATACTTTTTTCTGCGGGAATATCTCATCTCTGAGAAATCTATACTAAACGTTAAAACATAATTTGTAAATTAAATAGTTTTTGGAAAATCTTATTGACATAAAAATAATTATTGATACAAAGGCCGAATCTATTGTTTTTAGAATTTTTGTCTGTCTGTCTCTGTCTGCTACCGCATCACGGAAAAACCACTGGAGGGATTTTGATGAAATTTGGTATGATGGAACCTGGTTATCCGGGTCAACATATATAGGATACTTTTTACCGCGGGAAAATATCTCATTTCTCAGAAAAAATACAAAAACTGCAATGTAAGAGTATACTAATATGTAAAACATTTTTGAAAGAATTTGGTTTTTGGTCATATAAACGCGGGCTTGCGACACCTATTAATTCTTCTACTACTGCTTCTTGACTGTAACACTCGATAATTTTGATCGCTTATTCACAGATGACGCCGATTGTATTATATTGTACTACTCACACCCTCGCTCCGCTCGGGTTCGTCCCTACTTACGTTTTAACTTTTAATATAGATTTCTCAGAGATATTTTCCCGCAGTAAAAAGTGTCCTATATGATGACCCGGATAACCAGATAGCATCAAACCAAATTTCATCAAATTCTATCCAGTGGTTTTCCCGTGATGCGATTAACTGTCAGTTAGATTAACAGTAAGTTAGATTAACGGCTAGTTAGTTTAACTGTCAGTTATTTTAACTACCATAAGCTTTACTGTCAGTTTGATTAACGGCTAGTAAGATTAACTGTCCGTTAATTTAACTGTTAGTTTAACTGTCAGTTAGTGTAACCTCTAGTCAGTTTAACTATCAGTATGTTTAACTGTCAGTTTGATTTACTGTCACTAACGTTAACTGTCAGTTTGATTAACGTCTAGTAAGATTAACTGTCAGTTAGATTAACAGTAAGTTAGATTAACGGCTAGTTAGTTTAACTGTCAGTTACTTTAACTGTCGGTTAGCTTACCTGTCAGTTAGTTTAACTCTTAGTTTGATTAACTGCCAGTTAGTTTAACTGTTAGTTTGATAAGCTAGTAGTTAGTTTGATAAACAAGTAGTTAGTTTGATAAACAAGTAGTTAGTTTGATAAACTAACTAGCAGTTTATCAAACTAATACTGGGCGCAAAGTCTCAGAACTCAGAAAGAACTCAGTCGCCACTTGCCTCTCGCCAGCTGTCACTGATCGAACCGCACGTTTTACGCTAATTTTGTGTTATTCAATATATTCAGTTGGAAATTATTGAAATGCAGTGCAGTACCCATTTAAAGCAATTCAACTAACTCCACACCAAAAATCACGCCAATCCGTCACTCTGTTTCGACGTGAAAGAAAGACAAACAAACAAACACACTTTCACATTTATAATATTAATATTGACACCGCCTCGGTGGTGTAGTGGCGAGAATGTACGGCTGGACACTCGGAGGTCCTGAATTCGAGTCCCGGGTCGGGCCAAGTTTAGTTATTGAGTTTTTCTGTATAGTAAGTCTCAGTGACAGCCCGGAGTTGGGAAGTCGGCGGTATTTCACCCTCGTGCCTCGGGGAGGACGTGAAGCCGTCGGTCCTGCGCCTTAACTCTCACCGGTCGTGTCGAGCAGTCGTCCCGCCGGAGTATGAGAGTGACAGGAATAGAGAGTGCACGTTATGCCTGTGCGTACACTTGTGCACTATAATACCTCCTGCGCAGTTGGCTAGTCTCAATAAGATTGGCTGCCGTGGCCGGAATCGGTCAGGAAATCATCATCATCATTAGTATGGATATTTACACATATTATGTACTTTTATATGAGAGTCCGGGAGATGGTCCTTTATAGTTAAGGGGACTTTCCATGAGATGGCACTACATGCTTTAACTTGGAAATCGTTTTGAGGTGAGTTCTGTTAATATCAAAGGACCAGTATATTTATTTTTAAATCGTCTTGAGCATGATATTTATTGGATGAATATATATTTATTTTTCTGAGTTTGTTGTGATGGGGGGGCTCATTAGCGTCCGGCAATCCAGCCGGGCGCGAAGCCAAGAAACGGCCTTGGAGGTGGCCAAATTCGGTGGGCGGTGTACCATGCGGGTTGCTCCTGGTACTTTTCTGATAGCAGATTGGATTTCCACATGTAAGCTTGGTACTAATGAACCAAAAAAGTATGGTAGGTTTAAAAATAAACAGAAACCTCTAATATGAACTCTTAAGTATTCATATTTTACGGAAACTAACTTATTAAGTTTGAATTCTGTACTCTTGAAAAAAAACATGCTTTAGAAAAAAAACGCGTTTTTTTCATGATAGAAAAAAGTTTTTTTAACACTAGGTACGGTACCCTAAAAAACACTACATGGTGTGGAATATTTACTGTTATACTAATTTGAATGTTAATATATCTTACAGATGCAGAATGTTATAAATAATACAAGGAGGTTTATTTCATATTTTATTAGAAAAAATCAAAGTACGACAAAAAATTCTTATATTTAAACATTTTTTTCATCAGTGTTTGATCCCGACAGAGTATTTTTTTTAGTTACATAAACAAAAATAGTAAAAAAAATAGTGAAAACGGTTACAAAGAAAGAGATATATCATATCTTAAAGCTAATATTCTTATAATAATATTATTTGCAATATATTGCAATTTGAATATAAAACATATACAAACTTAGTCCCTATAACTTTTTTAAAAAACTCAACAAAGCAATAAAAAAAACAATTAAAAAAAGTAATAGAAAATAAAATTTAAAATTATAAAAACATTAATTAAAAAAATATATGATTTAATTAAAGTAAATATGAAAAATGAAGTTTTTATTATAATTATTTTATTTACATATTATTTAACATTGATATACAAAAACTTTTACAGAATTAGCGTCTCAAAAGTGTCCTCAAAAAGAAGTGCACGATTCGAAATTATGCGCATTTTTGATGACAAAATTAAAACGCACGTAGTTTCGTTTAAAAATGTTCTTTATGTGGTGTGCGTAAGTTCGAATTTTTAACATTATTCTTTGGTTTAACTTAACGTCACATCGTTGGCTCACTATTACAAGGTTCTATGTTAATTTTAATGAAGTTTAGTAATTTTTACATCGAACTTCGTTATTTTGAACTACGTAAAATTGAATATTTCGTAGTTAAAGTGCCGCTATCTAGTGGTTTGTTTTTGTAAAACTGTAGCCAATGACACATAGAACCTTGTAGCATTAATAACTAAATAAGTACTAAAATTGTAACATAGAACCTTGTAATAGTGAGCCAAATGACACTTTGAAAAGATATTTGTTATGATATATGTATGTATGTTTTTATATATCAATGATATTTAATGAGGATATGAATTATTAAAATTAGATTACTTTTTATAATAATATCCTGTTGGCGATTGTTTGGCAGCGGCGGCGGCGGCGGCAGCGGCGGCAGCAGCAGCGTTGGCTGCCGCCCTCTTTCTGACAGCTAGTGCAGTTCGTTGTTTTGCCGCGATTTTTGCCTTTTGACTTTTAGATAGTCTTCGTTTTTTCTCGTGTGCAGCTGGAAAAGAAATTATTGGTATTAATTAGTGATGAATTGATAAAAACTTAGCCATTACGATTATTAATTACTCTTGTTACGATTTTCTCCTGACCGATTCGATTCCGATTACCGATTCGAGAGATGAGATATTTTCTCGCTACTGCGAGAATGTTAATGTTGACCCGGATAACCAGCTATCATCATACCAAATTTCATCAAGATCTATCCAGTGATTTTCTCGTGGTTCGTTCCCGGACAGACAGACAAAAATTCTAAAAAGATTCGGCCTTTGAATTAATTTGCGAATTTGAATCAAAAGTCCCCAAATACTAAATAGGGTTACATACTCTAAGCTCAATACTAACCAGCAGCTATCGCCTGTCTGTCAATCGCAACCTGAACCAGTTCGTTGAGAGTGTTGGCGAGCGCGATGCCGAATCGTGAGCAATCGGTGGCTGAGATTGCGTTTAGCTTCGTCGCTAGTGCTGACAACCTGGAAAATTATTTATTATACCTAAATCTCTTTTTTTACTGTATTTTTTTTAATATAATGTTGTTTTAAGAGTGTTTTTTTTTTAATTTAGGCTGAAAAGAAGCGTGACACATTCAAAGGCTTACAAAAGTCATCTGTCAACTATAAATAAATAAATACATATATACGTTGGTACATTAACACACAGCACCATCTAGTTCCATAGTAAGCTACGAACGAGGCCTGTGTTATGGATACCAGATAGTTGATACACTACACATATATAACTTCAAATACATACATATTATAAATATAAACATCCATGACTGGAGTACAAACATTCGTGCCATCATCACACAAATGAATGCCCCCAGCGGGACTCGAACCCGCGACCGTTGGCACTCGAACCCGGGACCACCGGGTGTGCAGCCGTACATGCTAGCCACTACACCACCGAGGCAGTTAAATTATAATGTTATATTGAAATGTATAATGGTTTTAAATATCTATCTTTATAAATTGTATTTCAATGAATACAGAAAGAAGACTTCTGACCGCACATTCGTTCTGTCTCTGTCGCGCCTTTCCGCCATTTTCAGCTAAAAGCTGGCAAAGAAACACTCACAATCAGTTATCTCTTTATTTCTATGATTAAAATAATACAAAAGCTGCTCACCTGCCAGCCAGATCTTGCTCGTCGTTTGGATCGCACGAGAAAGTGTTGTTCTTTCTGCTGGATATCTGCGACCAACGGTACTGCGTCAACATATCGTGTGTTGTAAATTATAAATGAAATGCAAATATAGCTATTGTATCGACAAATATTCTAAACGTGAAAGTTTGTACGTTTGTTGTTCCTTCACACAGAAACGGCTGGACCGATTTGGATGAAATTTGGTACACGGATAGGCTATGATCTGGAATGATAAAGAAATGTCAAACTTGAAATGTAAGTGTGTATGTTTGACACTTTTTCTATCGGTTCAACGGATTTGAGTGAAATTCTGGGTTAATTTGTATGCTGAGTAGGTTACTTTACATCGATGTAGGCAAATCTTATATTTATATGCTTACTAGCGACTCAGCGCTCCGCTCGGGTTCGTCCCTAACGTGGGCCACCCTTATCACTTAGGGGTATGGAAAATAGATAGTAGCCGATTCTCAGACCTACTGAATACGCATATAAAATTTGGTAAAAATCGGTAAAGCCGTTTCGGAGGAGTACGGTAACTAACATTGTGACATGGAAATTTTATATATTAGATAAGTACTTAATAATATATTTATGTACTTATAAATAACTTAATTTATATTCTTACTAGCGACTCACCGTCGATTCATTTCGGGTTCGTCCATAGACAAAAACAAATCTATTCCACGGGAACCATAAATTATTCCGGGATGATTGATATATAGCCTTCCTCAATAAACGGGCATATATAATGCAAAAAGAATTTTTCAAATCGTGTAAGTAGTTCCTGAGATTAGCGTGTGTGTGACATACAAACAAACTGTGTCTCTTTATAATATTAGATATTATATACTTACATATAGATAAATACTTAATTTAATTTAATAATAATTAATAATAGGTTATTTACAATTTGCGAAGTTATGGCGTAACATACACAAGGAAACAAACACCCGAATCGAGTCCAGTATTAAAGTCGATTAACTCTTTATTATAACTTGTCATTAAATCTCTTAGCAAATATAAATTATTATAATCTATAGCCTTACGCCATAAAGATAGCAAAATTCTGAGTCATTGCGTTCTGTCTCCCACGAAAACGATACACTGTAAAACTATTTTAAGATAAATGTTAGTGTGTTTATATCTTTGTTTATTTTCCCATGGCTAAAACTGTAAACGTTCATGCCTGCGTTATATGACAGATTGTAAAAAAAAAACGATTATCTAACGTTTTATTATAATTTGTAATCGGAAACTATATCATATATGTTTATATATTATACTAGCGACTCACCCTTGCTTCGCTCGGGTTCGTCCCTAGGTTGATTTCCCATACAAATTTTCATCCCCATTTTATCCCATCAAGGGATGATTTCCGGGATAAAAAGTATCCTATCTCCTTCCCAGGGTCTCAAACTATCTCCTTACCAAATTTCATCTAAATCGGTTCAGTAGATCCAGAGATTACCCCCTACAACTTCACAAACTCATAATTCACAAACTTTACCTCTTTATTATATTAATATAGACAAGAACAAATCTATCCCTCGGGAACCGTATATTTTTCCGGTATAAAAAGTAGTCTATGTATGTAAGTAGCTTATTCCAGACTATAATCTATATCTGTGCCAAATTTCATCCAGATCCGTTCAGCCGTTCTGGCGTGATTGAGTAACAAACATCCATACATACTCACAAACTTTCATATTTATAATATTTATAGAGATATGTATACAGATTCCAAGACCCTGAGAGAGACAAGTATTGTCAATCTAGCAGATGAGGATGGAGATAGAGATTACAACGTAAACAATATATGTGCTTATAAAACCGTCTGATTTTCTTTTATAAAATGTTTTAACCGATTTGAAATAAGAAGAGGTATTAAGATTTTAAATAAAACTATTTTTTCGGATTTTTTGTGGATTTATTTTGATTTTTGGTTCCAGTCAACTATGTGTATAATATCTTTGAGACGTCTAAAACCTTAGTCTCTCCTGGACTAAGATTGCTATAAAGCATTAGAAACGTTGTGACCAAAATTCAAAATAAATTTGTGAAAAAATCCGAAATCCGGTAGTTTTATATAGAATGTCGAATATTCGCGTAAATCTAAGAAAGTATTAAGAGTAAGTAAAAATATAAGTATACTAGCGGACCCGACAGACGTTGTCCTGTCTACACGTCTTTAATTTGAAAATTTCAAACTTTTTTTAATAATTTTTTTGATGAAAATTATTATTCAAATTGTGAATCTAAACCATTCCCAGATCCCCTTGAACGCACACAAAACATTTCATCAAAATCGGTCCAGTCGTTTGAGAGAAGTTCAGTGACATACACACTCACAGAAGAATTTTATATATATAAAGATTTGGTCAATTCTGTACAGATTTTCATGAGAAAAAAAATTAAATATTAAAATACAATAATTATTACTTTGTATATAATTAATTGTAAACTACCCACATATTTAGTTAAAAAATATTTTTTAAATTTTAATATTTCGAACATCGTATATTTACCATAGAAGGTTGTGGGCACATCCCGAACATGTGCCGCTCCAACACTTGCTTAAACTCATCAGCAAAAACCAGCGCAGACCCATCGTCCTGATTCTGTAAAAATAAAAATTATTTATATAAGATAAACTTTCATGTGTAACAGATTCGATGTTCGTGCAGGTCAATCGATTTCCGACTTCTAAAAAGGAGGAGGACATAGGTCCTCTTATGTCTATACGTATAATAGAATTATTACTAAACCAAATCTGTACATTAGATATTTTTTGGAAAATCTTATTGAAATAAACATTATTATCGATACAGAGGCCGAATCTATAGTTTTCACAATTTTTGTCTGTCTGTCTGTCTGTCTGTCTGTTACCGTATCACAGACAAACCACTGGAGAGATTTTGATAAAATGTTCATCAGTTCCTTAGTGGCTTGATTGATGTTAGTAGTACTGTAAATTGTATCTATTGAAGTAGATCCCATATTTTTTTAACATACAGGTTATATACAGGATGGTCGGAATGTTGACGTCCAAAAACAATTTTTTTTAACGTACACCTTATATACAGGGTGGTCAAACAAAAATTAAATTTAGATCCCTCGTATCGTAGGGTATCCGAATCGCCCCCATGTATGTTACGCGACTTTTCATAGTTTATGAGTTATGAATTTTTTTCTGAATTTTTGTGAAAATGACCAACAAAAAAAATTCTTAAAGAAAATGGGAGACTTTGTCGAGATTTGTTTTTTTACAATTGAATCTTCATAAGTAGTACTTTTATGAATAAAATAATCAGCTTCGTAACTGTGATGAAAGTTATTAAAACGTGGGTCTTAAGTGAAAAATTTACGTTCGCTACAATTATGACTTAAATTTTCAATTTTGAATAAAAAAATACTAAACAGGTGACTTCATGGTTTCTAAGTAGACTTAAGAATGCACCAGACTCTCAACTATTACAAGCATTAAAAAAAATGTGCAATTCACACATCGTAGAAGTGAAACTTCAGAAAATGATATGAATATAGAGTATCAGGAGTAGGATAATCATAAGGATCTTTTTATATTATTTTTACCAAGTTTAAAAGTTATTTTACATTTTATTTGACATAAATATAAACATTACATAATAATCAGTAATGAATTTTATTATTTTTCACTTCCTGTGTAATGTATTCTATCAAATAACAACGGTTACCATGACAACGGTTACCATGGCATCATCGCAATGTATTCTATCTCATTCTATCGCCTCACTGGTCTCACTGGTCGTGTCTCGTGTCGTCCCACCGGAGTATGAGTGACAGGTATAGAGAGTGCACGTTGTGTCTACGCGTACACTTGTGCACTATAATATCTCCTGCGCAGTTGGCTAGTCTCAATGAGATTGGCCGCCGTGGCCGGAATCGGTCAGGAGAACATCAAAAAAAGTAGTACTTAATGGGGCTACTTTGGCTAAAATCGGCCTTCAAAGACAGCGAGGTGGGGAATTCTTAAAATTAACCATCTGATTAAAAATAAAATTTTTTGGTCATTTTATCATGTAGGATCCCTAATAAAACTTCGATATATTCCTTGCTTATATTCTTATATTCAGTACTTTTATAAACGTCAGTGAGTTACATAATTTATAACTATAATTTTCAGTATTACAACAATTCGTGACCAGTCACTACATGGTGGTACCGACATCTCTGTGCAAAAGCGCGGGAAAACAAATGAATATCCGCGTCCTTTTATTTTTTTTAAATACATTTCTATCGACCAAGGTCACATAAGTGAATGCCTTATACATAAATCATTACAAATTAATCAAACATATTTTTTTCTATTAAAACGCTCAATATATAAAAATGCAACCTTACAATCGTTATATATTTTATTACCACCTGTATATACCTGTATACATTATGCATGTCCCGACATAAAAGAGTGTATTTATAAATACGTATTTATAGATTAACGCCATCTATCGCGTATAAGGGAAACAAAATAAACTGAGTCCAAAAAAAATTAATGCCTCCCCGACCAATGTCGGCCACGGCGTCAAATCTCATTGAAACTAGCCAAATATTATACTGCACAAGTGTACGCGCAGAATAATCTATACGAAACTTCGACATGACCGGTGAAAGTTAAAGTAAAAAAAATAAGAATAGCCCAAAGGGCTGTCCTATGTCTTTTTATAGGATGGAGTATCACCGTATCATCAGGGATTTATGATAGCAAATAAAAAACATAACCTTCTTTCTTAACAAGTCGGCTAAGAATAAATATAGTCATGAGAATCGTACATAATGTATTCATTTTATCAATTTCGAAATAATCTAAATGGCTTTCGAGTTTTCATAACACTTGTGAATAATATCCACGGTTTGGCTTCGTGCCAGGGGACTGATTCGATGTTACTCATATTGTTTACTTTACCCATGTATATAAGTTTTTGATAGCCGGCTTTTATGTTTGGTGCCTTACAAAGTTACCTACGCGGTGGGATCCTGTGTAGTGACTAGCATGCATGGCATATCCGGAGGTCCTAGGTTCGAGTCACGAGTCGATCAAAGTTACTGGGTTAATGGGTTCCGTCAGGGCCGGATTATCTATAAGGCAGTTTAGGCAACCGCCTATGGGCCCCGCATCGGCTAGGGGCCCCACACACGAAGAAAAAAAATTAAAAATGTATCATCGAGTGAAAATTTAATTAAAAAAAAAATTGCTGAAAATTCCACCATGAAGACAAATGCAACAGTTAGATTTCTATGAAATCTAATTAATAGCGTAATTACGAAAAATGTATTTAAATAAGTTAGAAAAGGGTGAAAGAGCTCCGAAAATTGCATTGCCTAAGGGCCCCCGGTATGGTTTTTCTGTGAAATAATTCTCAGTAGCAGTCTGATGGGAAGTTGGCAGTGTTACGTTCTCGTACTCTAAAGAGCAATGCCGTCGGTTTCCCTAGTGATCTCTCACTGGACTTTGAGAATGACAGGAATAGAGAGTAAAATTGTATAATAATTTGTTGGTACATTAACACACAGCACCATCTAGTCCCATGGTAAGTTACGAGGCCTGTGTTATGGATACCAGATAGTTGATACACTACACATATATAACTTTAAATACATACATATTATAAATATAAACACCCATGACTGAAGTACAAACGTGCTCGTCACACAAATGAATGCCCCCAGCGGGACTTGAGAACGATTACCTAAACACAATTGGTGACAGTTTTAAGAGAATTTTTGTATGGGATTGTGTATCAAGTACTTTTTTGATCGATGGCTGCAATTTAATAGTTATCAACGACAAAGGCTTGTTAGTCATAAAAATTAGTATCACGGTCACGGCAGCCAATCTCATTGAAATAAGCCAACTATAGGAGATATTATACGGTAAAAGTGTACGCGCAGACAACGTGCACTGAGCCAAACGACACGTTTGGCTCAGTTTGTAGTGACCCTACTTGCTGTGTCAGCGGTTGCGGGTTCGAGTCCCGCTGGGGGCATTCATTTGTGTGATGAGCACGAATGTTTGTAGTTTGTACTCCAGTCATGGGTGTTTATAGTTATAATGTGTATGTATTTTAAAGTTATATATGTGTAGTGTATCAACTATCCGGTATCCATAACACAGGCCTCGTAACTTACCATGGAACTAGATGGTGCTGTGTGTTAATGCCCCAATTTATTTATTAATCGGAACATAATAGAATCATTCTCTGATCACTCCCAATCAGTATCATTGTGAATTTAAAGCTATGACGCAACCGACTCAAACGCGTGGGAAGGGACGTAAATATGATCTAGATTTAAGTAGAGTTTATTTTTATATTTATTTGTAAATCGGCCAGTTTTATTGTTACATGAAAACTGTTTTATGACATTGTGTATTTATATTTGAAAATGGATGAAATCGATATGTAAATGCCGTTACAGACCATCGGATTTTGTACGACGGATCGGTTCAATTTTGAACTGAAATGAAAATCGAACACTACAAAGTGCATTTATACCTACTAATTATAAAATAATAATAAAATATCATAAAGAGTTTTGTTTGTTTGTTTGTTTGTACCGAGTAAGCTCCAAAACTACTGAACCGATTTAGATGAAATTTTGGTAAGAAGATAGTTTAAGACCCTGGGAAGGACAGGATAGTTTTTATCCCGAAAATCATCCCTTAAGGGGGTGAAAATGGGCATGAAAGTTTGTATGGGGAAGCAATTTTCGGTTTTTATTAAAAAAAAACCCGAAAATATTATATGTACATCAATTTGTGATGTATTTATACATATCGAAATAGCTTTAATTGTATCGTCTGGCATCGACTTCGAAAATATCTGATTGGGTATCTATAGTAAATGAAAACTCCCGTTCAGTTATTTTTTACTTTTTAGTGTGTTGAAGTTGTTTTTTTTTCTGTTTTAATTTTCCATTATTAGTTAGACGTAGTAGTAGCAAATTTGTAAAAATTGTACTGTTTATAAGAAAATTCCACAAGAAGAAATTGAAAACTGAGTCATTTACTGCACTGTCTAGGTGCAGTTCCGTTCATCACTCGATAGATCCTCGTTAGATCATCACCAAACTTTTATGGGACAACGCCATTTTTTTCTTTTTTTTTACGTTCACTTCCCTATCCGTTTTTTGGCTTCGCGCCCGGCTGGATTGCCGGGCACTGCTGACTACTACTTGTATTATAACGTGTTTTCCGGGAATGAGATAATCTCCCGCGATAGCCTATGTCACTCTCCAGCCCTCCGACTATCTCCACACAAAAAAATCATGGCAATCCGTCACTCTGTTTCGACGTTAAAGAAGGACAAATAAACAAACAAACACACTTTCACATTTATAATATTAGTATGGATGACACGCCTTGGGAATGAAATGATCGCCTCCAGGCTACTTCAACTTTATAGAAATATTGTAAATTATAATATGACTACAAAAAAAAAAGATAACGAAATAATATTAGTCCCGCTGAGTTTCTTTCGCCAGTTCTTCTCAGGTCTGAGGCTTCTTCTTTCCGAACTGGTAGTAGACTCATGACGTTCAGTAAAAATATGTAATAATTTAATGCTGAATAAAATATTTTTAA